TGTTTTGGTTTCTTTTTAATCTATGTTCTAACTTAAAAAATATACATTGGGCTTTATGGGGGTGTAGTTCTGGGTTAAATGACCAGCCTGCATAGAGTTGACATGTTTTCCTTGTGTATATTTGGATTCAGTCCAGGTACACCTGCTTCCAAAGTTCAAAAACACGACTGGTGAGGTAATTGGATACTCTAAATAGCTCTAGGGTATAAGTGTATGTATGTGTGGTTGTTTATGTTGTGTTGTTATTCCCAATAATCAATGAAGCTACAGATGCCAGCCCTTCGATTAAAGCCTGCAAGGTCAAGCAGATAAAGATAGAATTAAGTTAATCAGGGACAGATCATGGATGCAAACACCTTGGACTGGAATTCCTGCTTGGAAGATCATGTGCAGGAATGTTTTTTATTACTGTGGAGTAAAAGAAAACTATGGTTGAGAGAAAGAAATTAACTAAGCCCATCTGTAGTTTGCCACATTCACAAATGCAGGAGACAGCAAATATTAAAGTCATAGGGAAATGACACAGACATCCATCCACGTGATCACTGGGACGGAACTCAAAGGTAAAGGAAATGATTCTTATTTCAACCATTGCGTATATTAGCTGCGACATATGAATCAAGATTTTATAACCGAAAAAAATTTATTGCGTCATGAGAGAAACGGATGTGACGTTTGACGGGTTTTATTGAGGATGTTAAGCTCGGTGCAGAGTTTCTCTGAACTCTGCTAGACCGGAACTGGAAGATGAGGGGAAGACAGACTATTAGTTCAGGCGCAGTGGGAAATTTGATTCGTTGATTTGAAGCAGAGGATCTGGTTGATGACTCACGTTTCCAGAGAAGTGACGGATCCTTGACTCCAATCTGTCTGTTGGTTTCCAGTGTTTGTCTGACTCGGTGGAGGGCGGAACAGGGTTTACCCAGAACTCGGACGGTGTAGGGGAACGGAGACGCTGATTGCCACTCAGATTTTCTGCTGTACTTCAACGGGTCATGGTGAAGGTGCTTCCCTTGGTCAGAGAGTAATTTCAACGTCCTCAAAGGAGACTGGATCCAAACCTCCTGTTTGAATCCCTCGCTCAGTTTAAGACTCAGTTGATCCCTCCTTGGAGAGGAGGTCCGAACAGGTCCAGTTTGCAAGATGACTTCCTGCCGAGAGGCAAAGACAAAAACAAAGTTAAAACTCAGGGAGACAAGAACTCAGACTTATTCAGAGAAAACTCAGCTTGGCTAGAGTACCCCAAACAGGCAAACACTCAGGCGTCGAGGTAGTGGCAATCAGCAGCTTAAGAGCACTCAGTTAATGAGGTAACCGTCAGCAGGTGTGTGAGGAGGCGAACCAGAACCAGGCGCCTCCTGTTGGTGGAAGGAAGACAAACACAAAAAAAAAAAAAACCACACACAGACAGGAGGCCTGACAGATTGACAGATCACCGTTGATATACAATTGGTTGAATTTAGGTGTACAAGCTGGCATATAACTAACTGGCCTGCATAAGATAACGAAAAAAAACCCACAGATTTTAAGACAGGATTTTTGTTTTTTTTTTATAGAAAATTTGTACATTTTGGGCCAACATAGTCTAATAAAGAGTACATTACACATACACATTTATATACATGTTTAAGCCAGAATAATTTGACATTTAAATATGACTTTTCTATGACTTTAAGTAAGGAGAAGAAGCTCTGATCAGGATACAACAAAATGTGAAAACACCAAAACTATAAGTTTGATATAAAGCTTTGAAATCATCATATCACCACAAAACAAAGAGGAAGTTGCATCATACTGTGGGAATCTTTTTTTTCCCCAGCCAGGAAACCTGGTTAGAGTTTGGAGGCACAATGGAATCCAAACTTTAAAGATTCTTATTCATTTTTCAATCTTGGTAAACCTGTATATATATTTTTTTCATATTCCCTTTAACAGGAAAATGAATGGACACAACATCTTTATTTTCCAAATAAATCAATGAACACAGACAAGATTTTTGAGGCCTTTCCCAATAAAGCTATGCACATATTTATACATCAGTGCTGTTTAAACTAATTTATGGTTCTACATAATACAATAAATGAGCTGAGCAGTTGTTCTTCACTTTTATTGCATGAAAGATTCTTAGATGACTGGAGATACAAAGGCCCAATCCCAATACACCCCTTACTTTCAACCACTAGCCCTTACTCGCTGCCACTAGCCCTCACCCACTACTCACACAGTGGCATTGAAGCCACACTAGTCTGGGCTTCGTAATCTTCTCTGGGAATTGGGACACCCCTCATTGGATTGTTGTTTTTCTGGTTTGCAAACGACTGCATATTTAAGTATGCACATGCATAAGATATGTGGCACCATATAGAAGATACAAAATGTTAAAAAGAAAAAAACCCAACAACCATTTAAACTGAAATTGTAAAATTGGAATAAAGCTGAACGCTTGTCCTTGAAAAGGACTATTAAACCCAGCTCATAAATTATAGTGTAATAAATATGCTAATTACATAACCATAGGAAACAATTAGACAGAGCCATGCCATTTCTTTATCTTTTTTTTTTTTTTTTTTTTTACAAAATTAAAGATAGAAAGAGAAAACAATGAAAACACAGGATGAAGGGGGGCAACCTCTTAGACAGGTTTGTGGGTAACTTTAAAAAACTCTGTCTTAATTTAGCAGGACTGTTTCATCAACCTATCTCCAGCGCAGATATTGTCCAGCTGTCTGCCCGACAGGCTGTGCTAATCCTCTGCTGTACTAATTAGATCTCCTGTGGTTAGCCTAGAGGCTAGCTCCGGCCAGCCGTGGTGTCTCTAAGCGCTGTCTCTCTGGCAGGCTTCTCCGATGTACTGCTGTCCTACTCCCGGCCAGCCGTAGCCCCACTTCCCTTCCTTCAGCATTTTGTCTAAACAGCAGATTTATCCCATCTTTCATATAGGTCTATAGCTAGCCCCGGTCAGCTGTAGCCTCTCCTCCACTCTCATCCTGAGCTAGCATCAGTAAGCTGCTGCCTTCTCTCCCTGTAGCACTGTTTCCTCTGTGGGCTCCTCTGATCTCCTGCTGTGGTTCTTAGCTCCAAAGGTGGGCAGGGCTGGTAGCCTCTTTCCATTTCTGGTACTTTCTTTGCTGGTGTTATAGTACTGATTTTCTGCTGCTCCTGACTGAGCTCCAAAACAATGTCTCACTTCACTCTGGGGAATCAGGTGAACCCAGAAAGCTGTTGCCGACGGCTTTGTTTGGTCTGTACAAAATGTAAACACGCAAACAAAAATAAAAAACTGTGAGTCACCCCTTAAAAATCTCTGTCCTCCATGTTCTCTGTGCAATTGTCTCTGGCACTTCTCCCACAAGTCAGCAGGAGTCTGAAATTGCTTGTTTGTAAGAGCTAGAACTAGGCCTACTTGTTCCAGGGGTGAAGGTGGGATTGGTGTTACTTTTGCCTGGATTCATTTTTCATTTCCAGTAAATTTTGTTTGTTTGAATCATTCTCTCATCTGTTAAAAAAAAAAATATTTTGCACATAACCTTTTGGTCTGTCTTTATTACATTATTCTAAATATCTGATGTTATAGGCTCAATAAAAACTCATTACTTGAGTAACGTTTTTACCAAATACAATTTTACTCATACTTTCTTGTCCAGTTCTTAGATTGTCACTTTTACTTGAATATAAATATGATGAAGTGGTGTTACTCTTACTTAAAGGAATAGTACACCCAAAACATGATTAGCCTTCATTTTCTACTCACCCCCATGCTGAACAACACTCTGGAGTACTTTTTTGATATCTCAAATGCATCTGGAGATCTGGGAGGCTTCTTGCTGTCTGCTGACATTCAAATAATGGAGGTCTATGGCGCCCGAGGCAGAAAGGTCCATAAAAGTCCACAAAAAACGTGTCAATATTCCTCCATACTGCTCATCCAATGTATTCCAAGTGTCCTGAGTGGGTAGCATCCAGAATTTACTCGAAACGAAGTCATTTAGAATGTTTTTAGAGCATAAACAGTAGTGTATAGGATTTCCTGAAAGCGCGCACATGCGCGTTCACGACGCTACGGAAGCCGGCAGACCAAACCAGATGAAAGTGCGCATTCAGCTCGGCAAAGAACTCATGCTCTTCCTCAACACTGAAGTCCTCAGACATTTTTCTTTCGTTGTTTCTTTCTTTGCACAGGCAAACAGCACATTTCTTCTTCTACGCTTGCATTATTGGCAGAGCAGACGCTGAATGCGCACTTTCATCTGGTTTGGTGTGCCGGCTTCCGTAGTGTAGTGAACGCGCATGTGCGCGCTTTCAGGAAATCCTATACACTACTGTTTATGCTCTAAAAACATTCTAAATGACTTCGTTTCGAGTAAATTCTGGATGCTACCCACTCAGGACACTTGGAATACATTGGACGAGCAGTATGGAAGAATATTGACACATTTTTTGTGGACTTTTATGGACCTTTCTGTCTCGGTCACCATAGACCTCCATTATTTGAATGTCAGCAGACAGCAAGAAGCCTCCCAGATCTCCAGATGCATTTGAGATATCAAAAAAGTACTCCAGAGTTTTGTTCAGCATGGGGGTGAGTAGAAAATGAAGGCTAATCATGTTTTGGGTGTACTATTCCTTTAAGAACATGTTCAGGGTTCTCTACCAACCTCCAGGAAGGATCAAAATAAAGATGCTAAAAAAGAAAGATTCTAACCGTGCTCATCATGTGCCGCTGTCTGTGGTGCTGAATTTGGGATATTTTTATTTGTGTCCAGGTTTTTACTTCTCCTCTTACAGTATAATGAAAACTCTTTGGTCGGACATGTGCATACCCTTATCTAGCTGTGTCAGTTGCGTGGGATGTGGGGTGGGTTTTCACCACAGGAGAACCCTAGGGACGAGAGGGAATTACCGAGAAGAAAATATCGCGTTATTGCTTTCTCACTTTAATCTCTGCATCCGCTTCCTATGAAATAATAATAATAAAAATGTGAATGAAAGAAAAGAGGGAATGTGTTTTGGGAGGAGGCGCTAAATATTTACGGGAATCTGCAGCAGCCCAATGGAGGAGTTGAGAGAGGGATGCATTCCTAATGAGTAGGAACTACCAGCCTGGTTGCTTCGCTTTGGACGCGTCGTCCTTTGTGCTCAGAGGTGGAGCCAAGCTGACATATCTTCGGCTCCAACAACAACAAAAAGCGGACGAACTTTGAATCTGACAATAAAAGCTGGGAGCTGATTATTTTAAGGCTTTTTCTTTTTTATGACGGTCCAACCAATAATACTGAAGCTGCAGACCTTCTGGCGAGATTTCAATGATGCTCGGAGAGGAGAGGGATCTCTGAGCGCATAGAGGGCAGCATGTCTGTCTGCAGAGAGGGGACAGCGAAGCTAAGGAGACTTTTATTGCTGCTTTGTTAGAAGCATTTATTTTCTCTACATGAGAATTAGAGAGAATGTCAACGCTTGACATGTGCGTGTTTCCACGGATTTCCTCTACGTGACCCCGGACTCGTTCGGATGCGCCAGGACGCCGCCGCTGCCGGTTCTTTCAGTTCGGATGCTGACGCCCTGCCTTCTAAAAAAAACATAGCAGTTAAGGCAAAGCATTGATTTTGCGAGGGAAGCCTCTGCTTACTTCATTACGCCATGGATGACTCGGGAATAATAAGGCGCCGCAGGCTGCAGGTGAGCCCTGGAGTTCCTCTTCATTTGTTTAAAACCTCTCCTCTTGTTTCTAAGTTTCCCCTACTGATCTAAATTTGTTATGAACAGCGATCTGGGTTTAGTTTGGGGGGAATTTTATAAGAGGTCGCTGTCAACAGTCTGAGTGTATGGAGAATATTAAATCAGCAATATTTGCCATAGGTCTCAGTTTTTATGTCTATAAATCTAAACTATTAATTCTGACCCATGCTGTATGTTTTGAGACTTACTGGAAGATGGGCCACCATCCAGCTTATCACCTTCAGAATTATTATCCTTTATTTAGCTTCATCCACCATCACATTCACTTTGACCCTTCTATCCCACAGCATGATTCCCCTACCACCATGTAGTCAAATTATTTTCAGTGCAGAGTTACATTGCTACTACATAAAGTGTCTTGCATACTCTCAGAAACTTGTTTTGTGTCCATAATGTGAGGCTGTTACATAAAAAGAATACCATATTTCCTAGAGGCCTGTCAAACATATTTTATTCAACCAAATGTTATAAATATTACATATGTACAGTATAAAACTACTATTAGAATCTCACACAGGAGCAACCTGACTGATTGAATATTTAAATTTAGTATACCTGTTATATCAACATTTTCTCATTATCAGTTCGTATGAAATCGTACGAAAAGTTATGCACAGTATTTCGTACGTTTTGGACGTTTTTCCCCGAAAATACAGATCAGTGCGCATACGCAGGCAGACGAAAAAAGCAGATCCGCGGACGGACGTAAAACTGGGAAAAACAGTGCAATATTCACTTTTTCAGGTCTCTAGCTACCTTGCTTGTTGTTTTGTATCTTAGGGTTAGGGTTAGGATTAATTTTATGTAAAATTCTATGTTATTTAATGGTGCGTAAGATGCGCAAGGATATCTTGTCTCGAGGCAAGACGTAAAAATACGACGAAATGCGACGAAAAAAAACGTCTGAAACGTACGAAATTACGGTGCATAACTTTTCGTACGATTTCATACGAACTAATAATGAGAATATCCAATGTTGACAGAAATGTTTCAAAAAATCCCCAATAGCAGAATTTCTGGTCCCTCATTCACGTTTTACAAAGACAATATGGCACTGTGATGTCATAGCTCCAACTCTCTCAGATTTGCCTTCAGTTTAGGTTTTGGATGTTGACAGGGTCAGCCTAACAGCGTTTGCTTTTGCAGCCTTTTACAAATTTCAATAAAAGACTTCCATGACTCTGCTCAAATGAATAATTCCCTCAGCATTATTCTGCCACCTTCTTAGATGAGTCTAAGACTGACCTTTTAACAACACAAATAAAAATTTTGTTTGGTATAATTAAATACTGGCTATGAAAATGCAAATTTTCACACTGTTTGAAACGGTGGAAAGTCAGTTATGCTGTGGGCTTGTTTCTCTTCCAAGAGGCCATTTGAACCTACTAGTGCAATCTACTAGTAAATCAAAAATAGATCCTGTTATGGGCTTTGAAATGAAAAATGACCAATTTAGTCTAATTAAAAAGGGAAGTCGTTCAACTGTGACCTATTCAAACCTTCTTCATGGCCATCATAGTCCGCCCAGAGATAAAACTGCAGAAACCCTCTACACAGCTTAAATGCAAAGCTTCCATATAATATAAATATTATACATTAGATAAATTAGATACCGACTTGTCTTGTGCCCAGCTTTGATGCACAACAATTCTGTCATCTGTGATGTTTTTAAAATTAATGATTTCATTGGTGTCTTTTTTATTATTCTTTTACTTTTTAGAGTGAATGCAGTTTATTTCTGTACTAAATCAGGTCAACATACATTTAATTTGCTAATGCGTCGCTTTGCCGTGGTTCATCTGACTTTAAGGTTGAGCCTTATTTCTGCCGTGCTCCGTCTCTTCGAGGAAATCTACGGTTATGAAGGTGCAGTGATGCATGGTGATCTGATGCGTTCAAATGACTGTGCTCATCCATTATGAGGCAGCCTGCGTAACCAAGGGGTCATACCCCCCCACCCCCCTCCCAACACTCTGCGGTTCAGTCAAGTGAACTGAGCAGAGATGAGCCGCCTGCAGGCCGTGCAGACAGCAGCTTCCTGTTAGCTTCTGCACAGCCATGCATGTGTTTGCGTGCACCTTCCTGTGTACCGCTGTGGGTACATTTCATTTCTCAACCTAGTCTGCGCTCCGGTGGTTTCATTTTCTGAGAAGGATAATCATGAAGGTTCAGTCAGAATGGCACCTGTGGGCTAAGTGGGAGAAAATTGACCCCCTATTGTTTTGCAGAGATGGAGAGGGCTTTTAGAGAACCAAGTGAGGGTTATAGTAAGACTAAGGTGTGCATATGAGTCTTTTTCTCATCGTCCTCCTGCTGCTCTGCTGATGTGATGTGTGACGGAAGCTGAGAGGAAAATTAATCATGACCATCAGTCAGACTCACAAAGTACCTGACTGTCCATTGATATGATCAGCCTTGCAGAGTGATTAAATATCAATACAGTGCTCAACCTCTGCAAAGGTATTCATATACTTCAATTCTTTTCCCATTTTATCATATTACAGCCTCATAATATTCACATTTTGACTTAATTTTAGATAGACTAAGAGATTAAGATAAAGTGACTGCAAAACTTTTGTGGTATGTCTCTATCTTTCATCAGACATTTGGACACATTTCTTTTTGCACCACACTTCCAGCATACAAACGGAAAGAAACTAGCTGTGAAAATCTGTTTTCAAGTCTTTTCACATATTCTCAGTCTGATTTATTTCGGAACCTTGACTTTTCCATTCCAACACATGAATATTCATGACAACCTTTCCATTGTGGGTTTGGCTGTATTTTGAGCAGCCTTTAACAGATTGTCTTTCAGCTTACAAATGATTTATTTCATCACATTTTACAATAATTTAAAATTTTGCGTCGATCTGTTAAAAAAATCCAAGTAAATATATCCAATTTTGCTGTAAAAATTTAAGGAAAAAGTTCCAAAAGCACAGTTTCTCTGTCTCTGAGAGTAAATTGTACATATGTGCTCAAAATGTGTGTGCATTTACCTTCTCTACACAGATGTCACATTAATTTGCTAGCTTTATGGCATTGTGTATCTATAAAATGCCTTGATGAAAACTGATTGGCTTTGCATGCTTTGTTAAGCTGCTGTGTCAGCCCCATGGGTCTCATCATCCCAGCCGTTTCTCTCTCTCTCCCTCTCTCTAACGCTCCCTCTTTCAGCACCATATGGTGACACACCCCACTTCCCTGCAGTTGAGGTCAGAGGTCACAACCATGATGCATTTTCTATGACATGACTAACATTTAAAGAAATGACAACAAGAAATCATGCTCCTTTTTTCCAGTCTATTCTTCACAGGATCTATAGCATCTACTAAGAATAGGATTAAAAAACATTATAAACATTTTTCAGATATATAAACAATATTTCATAGAGCGTATGAAAATAAAGTATAATCCAATTGCATAAAAAAAGAAAAGTTGTCACCGTTAATTTATGGTATGTAGGAACACATAAAAAAATAGAAAAATAGATTCTCACCCCTGAATACATTTTCCTCCGTTCATTAAGCCTAGTGCTAAAATTCCTGTTTAAAGTTGTCAAAACCTGTATTTTTCTTATACAATCCTTCTGAAATTGTCTTTAAATTAAATTAATGTTTAATTATTTATAGAAGATAAGAAATTTTAACTCATTCAGATCCCTTTTCATGTCCTTTTTAGAAAAAAATTCAGGAGGCTACAAAGGAAAATTTGACTTGTGTGTCTGCTCTTCATCATGTGGATGTAGAGTTAGCAACATTAGCAGTTAGCCATCGTTTGATAACCATCATCTTCTGGTCTCTTATTTCATAGGTAAATAGTTACAGGATCAGCAACACATATTGATTGACTCCAGGTGAATCCTTGATTGTTGAAACTGCTTCTTTTGGTGGAATAGTGATAGGAGCAATAATATCAAGGCGTCCTTCTATGAATTGTGTAAATCGAGCAGGGGGACCTAAAACTTCCTTTGCAACAAGCCAACTCCTGTGGACATTTCTTATTTAAACAAAGGGATTTTAACTAAGGCACAACTCTGACAAACATAACGTGAAAACGTCACATTTGGAGGTGATGACACCTTTAACACATTGCAGATATGGCTGTATGTTTCCCCCCACCCTACAAAGCTTGTAGCAAACTTTAAAAAGGATGATTTATGGATTACCTAATGCAACTTACAAATACTGGCCACGTTTGTGGAATGCAAAAGAAGTAGTTGTCATATCAGCTCCTCCAGAGTTAGCATGTGCCGTTTCACCATCTTTGTAGGCTTTGATTAATCATATCATCGTTGATCTAGCATTTTACATGGATAACCATGTTTTTCTGGCACCGCTGGTCTTTAAATGGAAGTCACGTGTCAGGAGATAGAGATCAAAGGGATGTAAATCAAACCTCTCAAGGACAAAGGCCTCTGTACATTGATTTTGCTCTTTACCCCTTAAGCTACCATCCCATCCATGGATTAATGGAGCCATGTTTTTTTTAAGCTAAATTTTTATTTGAAGTATTATGGGGCTAAATTCACGTGAATGCCACACTTTTCAGATTTTCATTTCTAGAAAGAAAACAATGCATCACTTATATCTTTCCTTTAATAGCAGAGTTTACATTTTCGGTGTACTTCTATCAAGATTAGACCAAGAATGAACCGGTACCAAATCATCATATCTCCACCACCGTGCTAAACCTTCATTATGAGGTCTGAGTGCCAATATGTTGCTTTCAATTATAGCTGTAACGATCTGCATTTTAGCCAAACATTTCTTGTTCTACGCCAAGGAAAGAAATTTACAGGGAGTGTTGGCCTAGTGGTTAGAGCAGAGAGCTTGTGCTCTGAGAAGGTTGTGAGTACCTGGTTCGATCCCCACAGCCAGCAATCAGGCTCCCTGAGCAAGACCCTTAACCCCACACTGCTCCCCGGATGCCACACGATG